GGGGGGTGGGGGGGGGATGGCTGACTGACTCGTTGAATGGGAAGTCGTGGTTCATCTTATTCCCATTTCAACGGACGCTATCGCAGAATAAGGTAACTTGATGGAAGTAGTAAAAAAGCTTGAAGAAGACGGGTGGGATGGTGGCAGGACTCACTTTTGGAGAGGAGGAAGATCGTATCGGTGCCAGTACTCAGCTAATGTCTCCTACAATGCCTCTCTGATACGGGCTCACAAACGTATCACAGCCAGTTTACAAATTTAACTTACAAAAAAGTTTCATATCTCATTATGGTCCCAATAGGAACCATTAAAGTATGATGTCATTTAGCTCAAATGCCCCAGTTGGATGTGTACTGCGTTGCTATGGTAACATAAAGCAGCTCACGTTTCGCTTCATTTCACATCTGTCTCATCTTCCAACATCATCAGGATTTTCCCAGACATAATTTCTTAGGAGTATGGACTAAAAATTAAGCCTTATTCATTTTTTTTCAAAAACTTATATTAATTACCATTTGTGCTTAGAATTGCTGTGATTTTCTTCGCCTGGAAATTGGAATAGCTACGAAAAACCCATTTCTAGGGTGAAACTCTTCAATTTAACCCAACAAATTGGGGCGATAATCATTTTTCTCGAATTCGTCGCTGTTTTCACCTCAAATCTCGGTTTACAACTATTGTAAAATGCATGTTGTAAAAGCAGGTTTCTTCGTCAGCCGATCAGATCTGCTGTTAGCAAAATGTTTTTCTTATAATGGTTGTTAACCCGGTGATTTTTGCCTTTTTTAGGGTGAGCGACTCCAAACGAATTGGTAATTAGGATTATTAGTTTAATAAAAAAAAAGAACAAATATCGAGGTTGAAAAGTACTCCGATCGCCTGGAACTTTTTATTTGTAGGCAGTATATCCATTAATAGAGTTAACGATGTGAATTATATTTTTCTTTTGGTGCGTTCGGAAAAATTCCAAAGTTATCACTGATAATGTCAACAGGATTTTCCATCACACTACGTGCTCGAGTTCGCATTTTGGCAATGCATTTCAATGGCGATCGTTCGACATGAACGAGAGGAACATTGAAGGGTTTCGTGACTTTTGGAATGCGCCATATTTTCGGCTTAGTTCCAGACTCGCAGTGACACTCCTTGCATATTTCGCTGGCGCGCCCTGGTTATAAGGAATTCACTCTAGACTAGCGAAAAATGCGCCCTTCTATCCGTTGAACCATTCCTCTTTTTTTTACAAATGGCTCTTAATTTTTCTGGCATGAATGATTACAATATTTTAGAATGTTGTGACCAAAGTGTATCGCATTGGTCACACGTACTGAATCGCCGATGACGCCGTCATCGCCATCGAATGGACCGCTACGAAATCCTAAGACCAGCTGGGCAAGGAGCATACGGTATCGTATTGCGCGCCAGGATCAAAGAGGTACGGTACCATCAGTCAATTGCAGTAACTTACATTTAGAGTTTATCCAACACTGACAGTAGTAACGTTCACTTCCCTTACTGTTTTTGTAATGCATTAGGAAGAAGTCCCGTTTTCAGAGCGGAAAAACGGTGGCGATAAAGAAGATGACCGTCACATCGCGGAATCGTTTACAAATACTGCGAGAGCTCTGTGCACTGAGGAACCTCCACCATTCAAAAGTAAGCTATTTTCTATGATTTTTTTCCTTTCGAAAATTTGCTAGAGAAAGTCGTCCCTCGTTTTGGTTAGAATTATAGTTGTGCTCGATGCAGCACGTTCTCATTTAGGGTTTTCTGATAAAATTAATTGATACTTGATTAATTTCCTAACAAACTGTATCGGTTGATGCCTCTACCGCCAAACATTCTCCTTGGCATGCGCCATGCGTATGGCTTGTGACCAGAATCAAGACCCCATTTGAATAAGCTGGCTAGCGGAAGAACTATGCAGATCAATGCCTCATAGTTCTCCAGAATCGAAGAGATGAAACAACTTGCTTAGCTTCTGGGGAATTCTTTCATGAAGAACTCTTCAGGGATCGATCCGTGGGTAATGAGTGTGATAGTTGCGCCGTATGCTGCTGCTCTCACCTCCACCCTTTTTCTTGCTGAATCTTTCTTCATTTCAGATAAAAAGCCTGTACAATTTAGTAATCATACTTGCAGGTTCTGAAGCTAGTGGACGTCTTCTGTTCTCGTGACTCATTATCACTGGTCACCGAATTCGTGCCTTATCATTTGAATGATATCATCACCGATCCCGGACGTCCAAAAGATGACAGATTTCTGAGGTTTCTTTGCAACAGTCTATTTTTCGATTGCCTTTTCTATTTCATTCTTCCATCGTTGTTATTTTACTGCAATGAAACCTCACGATAAGCATTCAAGCTAAATTAATCTCTTTCGGGGATCAAAAGACAGTTCAATATAGTACTCAGAAGAAGTGGGCAATGACAAATAAAGCAACCAGCGCAAGCATAATTCCAAGTGAATTTCTGAGCAAATTTTCTAGAATAAGATCAACATTTGTGCATTGCTTTGTGCTCGATAAACTGGTTGTCACTTGGTACCAGCCTTATCTGGGCGAATAGTAAGTTTCTAGAGGAATTGAATCTAGTGCTGTTCTAGTATAGGAATAGTGCCGACATAAATTGTATTAATTATAGTTCAATTTTGAATTTTGGTGTATTGGCCGTCCACTGTATAGCAATGGATGCGCCATACACGCATTCAAGCTTCCTCGACTTTTGTAGGGAGCTGAATTCATGGCCCCTTTTCAGAACCAATTGCCAACCGATGAGCTTACTGTAATGGGCTCCATAAAATTCATGTCTGTATAAGTGCTGTAACGTAAAAATTGATTCTGTTTGAAATCGCAATGTAATGTAATCAACCACTTAGACTGACAGTACTCTACAATAGTCTAAACTTTTGTTGTAAAACGAGATGGGGGCCTAATGCAGATAGTTTGATAGTAGTTTTACCTCTGCGAAAATCATATTCCTGATAGGTTCACAGAAAATACACTATTACGGTTATTCTGCTTTGGAAGGAGCTTCAAGCTTAGAGAGATGTTCAGTCTTCCATCGGTGTCATCAGAGTTGAGCTTAGTTAAGGCGTTCGGCAGTGGTCCCCCTACAGAGGGAACTACTGCCGAATGTGAAAGATAGCGGTTTTTGTAGCTGGTTTTTCTCAAAGATATTTTTTGTCAGAGCCATTTTTAACAATGCTGAGTGTAATCAATCCACCAGCAGTTGCGTGGTTGCTGTAAAGGCAATAAAGTAGCGAGGAAAAAAATAGACTTGCGTCAGCAAAGCATGTCTGTCTATGCAAAAGTTTTTGAAGAATCACTTTTTCCAGGCATTTCTTCATCCAGATCCTACAGGGAGTGAAGCATATGCACTCGCTTGGGATAATGCATCGGGTATGCGAACTTTTTTCACTTATTCTTTTGAAAATGGGAAAAAAGACTGGGCATGGAGTTCAGACGGCTTCATTGATTCTGCTTCGGACATATCTGAAAGGGGAGATTGAAGAGAAAAGGGGAAATCCTGTGAAAAGCGAATTTAGGCTTTCACACCACTATCCGTTAGCCAGGGAATGACTTCACCAAGCTGGTCGTTTGTTTTTTCCTGTTTTGGTAGAAGGAGACATTGCAAGTTAGACTGCGGAACATCCGTTCTGCAGGTGGTTATCCTATTACCTATTACCTTAAGCTTTACCTCCTCACGTTGTGATGTAACCCAAAACTTCCCAGTAAAAGTATTGCTCGAAAATGAAAAGGACGAGAGTTTTTCGTTGATTTGTTGAGAAATTCAATTCTGAATGAATCTCAATGAACTTTCTGTCCACTTCGTTGCCCTCTAAGGGTTACTCTAGCGCTTTCTTATAATTTGACCTCGTCGCTTACTGTCTGTTACTTGAATAAGTAAAAATATTTTTTGATTTATTTATTTATGCACTCGTAGGTGCGCTTATTAAAGAACTTCACTAGTTAGGTAACATAGTTAAATAACGCAACCTACTAACTGCAGAAGCAAACACAGATGAAGGTAGACAACCAGCATTATGTTATAGCATGGTAGTATTCTTAAAAAAACAAATAAAAACAAATGTCAAAAATGGGGCGTTACCAGTTTTAGTTGTGTTCATGACCTTCGTCATCCGATCTGGTAGATCAAATGTGGTTGTAAATGAAGTCGAAGTTATCGATTTCTAGTACCATCCACACGGCTTCCACAACCAGCCCGAGTGCCTCTCACTTCACCCTTTTTTCTTTCCTTTTTCCCCATGTTTCCATTTTCTTCTGTTCCGCACTCAAAGCGAATAGAATGTAATGTTTCTTCTGTTGTGATGACTGCTGTTCAATCGGCTTGAAAATCTGATGCTTGGTCATGAAGCTCAGATTACAGGGCTTTGTAAAAATGTCATGTATCTTATCCGATATCCACAGATTTGTAGCGAGAACATATCGAATTTCTACATAAACTTGGAAGAGTTTGCGTTTTCGTGAATTCTTTCGATAAATCGCAATTCAGGATCTAAAACCGGAGAATATACTGG